AAAAAAAAAAAAAAAAAAACAGAAAAACCAAAACGACCAATATTATTATTATTATTATTATTATTATCACAAATTACAGTTATTATGTGTCATTACATTGATTTACTCATTCAATGCTAACAGTCGTGTGGTTTGCCGTTCCACCCAAGAGGCCCGAGCAAATCCTTCTGGTGGGATAAAATTTGTGATGAGAGAGGCATCCTTGAGTTGATTGGAAAACTCCAATGCGCTCTGCTTAACAATAATCATATCACTACGTATATTCCGCACAATGAGTTGATCCATCGATCGCACACGTGAACAGGCCACATACACAAGATGTGGACATTCAAAGAAATTCTTGCAGTCCAACACAACAGTTCCCTGCAGTGTGAGTCCCTGTACTTTATGAACCGTAAATCCATAGCCGAGTTGCAGTGGAAGGGCATAAATCTCATGACCGTAAAAAAAAGTGGACGGTGTTCCTCCCAACATCAGAGCGAGTGGTGGTATCTGCACAACTTCACCAGAGAGAAGTCTCACAATGGGTAACTTTGGAAACATATTCTTTTCTAATAAACGTCCATATACCGTACGTGCGGGGGTTTCATGACGACGAGGAAATAAATCTGGATTGGGTGGCGCAAATGCCTCTACAACTCCCACACTTCCATTAGAAACTGTACGTGAGAGATTTCTATTCACCATCACACGACATCCCAATTTAAGTCGTAGTGGTGTGAGTTGTTCTGCATTTGGGTGATTAGAGGCATCTGCAAGAGCCATGGAAACACTTAACGGTATAAATCCCTGTGGATCTTCATTATATACATGTCGTAAGGTTGCATTCAATCGTTCCGCAACGGTATTTAATACAGTTGTCCAGCGAGTCGAAGAGAGAACGGCACTGTTAGAAGTATTACTATTTATAGTTATAGTGTTGTTAAGATTATTATTACTATTACTACTATTACTATTAGTATTACTGCCTTTTCGTATTAACGTTGTATCTTCTGGATTACGTAAACGAAGTAAGAGTGCATGTTTCTCTCCATTTGCAGGCATCACCACTATATTGTGATCCACCACATCTACACCTGTTAGATTCTTCAATTCCTCTTGTACGACTTGTACAATTTCCTCACGATTTGGTGTTAAGATATTCTTTTTCTTTTTGTTTTTTGAAAACTCCAACAGTCCTGCGGGTGTAAAACTCCCCACTAAATGCAATGGACCCCGCTGCGGTGCAAACATCATCTCCTCACTCTGCAATTCACACAACTTTGTATCATTTAACCGCTGCGCATCCCGCCGTCGTGGAAAGATATAAGTTACTTCCTCCTCCTTCTCTGGTAGTGGGCGATCGAGGGCGGCAAAGGCACGAGCATCAAACTTCCCCAATCGCAATTGTGATAATAATGTATACAAGGCATCTCCACGGGTGTGCCGCATCGGCGTTACGAGGCGAACGGCGAGAAGTTGTTGAAAGGCCGCAGATCCACAACACGATCCGGTAGTACTTGCGTGTGCCAATTGGAGAAAGTCTCCACAGGCGATCACTTGCAATCCACCGAATGGCTGCGGTCGCATGCGGGCCATGCGGGCCTCGGCATCAAAGGCATCAAACAACTCCGCATCTAATAAAGAGACCTCATCAATAATCACAACATCCACCGCACGTAAGGCATTCACATCCCACCGCCGTCGTCCACGCGGCTCATTTCCCACAGGCACACCAAATGCCAAATGAAATGTACATCCGCCCAACTGTACAGACGCCACACCTGTAGTGGCAGTCATAGCCACACGTAATCCCATCTCTGTTAGGCGACGGTGAATGGCTTTCAGTAATACTGTCTTGCCTGTGCCCGCACTGCCGCCAATAAACATACTGTATCCACGCAATGCAAAGCGAATCACATTCTCCTGATCGGGTGTCATTGTCATTCCGGAGAGTTGAGGATCATGCATGGCATCTAACTTGGGCGGTAAATACGCACTGGTGAGTTCACCGTAGAGACGATGGATTTCCTCCGCAATCGCATCCGCCGCATCTCCACGTAATAGTAATTCCGCCAATCGTTTACGCCATGAAACCATAGAGTTTAAAAAAGGTTTAAGAGCGGTTTGTGTTAAAATGGGTAATTTGGAAGCATCCCATGTGAGACGAAAAGGATTCACTGGACTACGAACAAATCCAACCCGTAAAAGTTCTTTAGAGACTCGACTTTTCATCGTTGTGAGTCTACCTGTGAAAGGATTGATAAAAGCATCATGCGATACAGAGGAAACAATGGATGGTCCTTGTAGAGATGGAGATACTTCTACATGATCACATATTTTCTTTTCCTTCATTTCCTCAGAAGAAATAATAACATTCGTTTGTACTTTTTCTTCCATCTGACCTCTTTGTGCAAACCAATTTGTTGATGTTGGTAGCACCGCCGTGATGCCTCTTATTCGCCTTAACATCTCTTTTGTGTATATCAATTGTTTTCTTTTTTATTTATTTATTTTAACAAAGAGTAAAACACAAAAAAAATAAAACGAAAGAAAGAATAATATACATACAATAAGGTATACAAAAAGGGAAATTCAATTAACAATATATGAAACTCAGAAACCAAATGAATAGCCATTAAAAAAAAAAAATAATAATAATAAAACACCTTCAGATAATAATAATAAAAAAAAACAGCCAAACGTGTAATTTCTACCATCTATGCTGAATTCCTGTTGTTTTCTAACACCGTAACCAAATCACGTGAGAAACGTACATTATCACGACCATACTTTCTCTGTAATGTTTCCAAGCAACTCCCCTCTACTGTAGGAGAATAAACAAGACAAACACAACTCGCTGCTGTGCCGTATACAGACATATTAGGAAAGGCCACAGACAAACGATCATATCCTTCAGGAATACAGGCAGTTAACTCCTCCAGAAGTGTAGAAAGATGTACACCGGCATCTTTTACTTCACGAAGATATACAAACCATGCAGTTTGTTCCTTCTGTTCAAGGGCACTAGGTGTATTTTCTTTGTTTGTAAGGTAATCACGAAAGATACGCATACTGAATAGATCATTAAACTCAATACAGAATACAATATGTTTACTTAAAACACTTTTGCTTTCTTGTGGTTGATGATGGGATGCGAAACGTCGAATCCAATTTACATCTGCAGCAGAGAAATCATTCATATTAGCCATATCCACCACATCTTCCACTGTGATGGTATCATCCTCATCATTATCTTTATCAATCTCCTCCCGCTGTTCCTGTTGTTGTCGCTGTGCTGGTGATATTAACATTGGTTCCTCTATTCCAGACTCCTGTCGACTTCTTTTACGACCCGCATTCGCCGGTGAAAGAATTAATTCCTCTGGACGACTCTTCTGAACTTCCACCTCTACAAGTTTCCAAATTGTTTGAGTGGCACACTCCCCACAGTACCCATTACATTCCCACTTCTGCACATCGTAATCCACACGTGCCCGTGAACCACAGCGTAGACACACTTCATCATACACCACATTTTTCTTCTCTCCTGTAGAGACACTATTATTATTATTATTATTATTATTATTATTATTATTATTATTATTATTATCCGCCGTATTGTGAAGTGTGGAAGTGGCGAATCCCGCATGATAGTTATTCACATTCCCCGCAATGCCCTCAGAGGCTGCCTCTGGCTGCTGTGGTGTGTCCGCACTGCGCAGCACAGACTCCAAAGTCTCTCCGGCCTCTAAAGCGAGAAGTTCCTGTTGTGAATATCCAACTTCCACAGCCTTGCGGTACTCATCGGTGGCCCGGTCAAGTCTACGCACCATTTGTGCCGTCGCCTCATCTCCAAAGGCACCAATCGTACCAATAGCCGCATCTCCATCCTGCCGTGTGCGGCGGAGATGAAATTTGGATTGTTTATCACCAGCGTTTTGCTTAATCGCATCCAAATTGTCCGGCCGCACATCCGGCATTCGATAGTGGAGGGCATCTTTCTTCAATATGAGTTGACGTGTCGCCCCCGTACCACGGGAATGATGACTGAGATTGTATTTCTCTGCTAACATGTGTAATTCACGGCGATCGTTAGCGGCCAACTCTTGTGGAAGCTCCAGTGTTGTTTTTGTTGGATCGGCAACGAACATTTCAATCTTTCGGCTCCACGTATCAAAGAAATGACTGCGATTGTCTTTTGCTTCAGAGTGGACCTGCGGCCGTGGACGCGGTGTGGATTCTTCTCCTTCATATATCTGCAATCCAGTACTGTTGATATTACTGTTATTATTATTATTATTATTACTGTTTGGAGTGGCTTCGGGTACACGGCGGGCCATTGCCTGTCGCACTTGCTGCAGAGCCTCCAGCATCTCTTCACGGGACCCAGCAGCGGACATCAATTGCTATTTGTAATATATGGGGAAGTGTATATATATAAAGTTTTTTTTATTTTATTTTTGTTTTCTTAATGCTTGTATATATATAAATAAATAAATAAATATAATAATTATAGGTAAAAAAATGTGATGGTGTGTGTGTGTGTGTGTG